CTAGATCCGCATTTTTGTACAAACATAAAAAAGCAAGCACGCACGTGTAAAACCGTTTTAATTAATATTTAGTTTAGTTTTAATTAGACAGCATCGTGTAATGAGAAGGATAACCTTGATTAAGGTTTCCGACTTTGCTCTAGCAACTCGGTATCCTCATTTTGATGTTTCCGTTTCCTTCTTGGACGGACAAGGATTGCAGCGACTGGCACACGTCTCTCTCCATTTCCTTCGTCTACCTTCTACCATCATCGCAACCCATCTACACATTCGTACCTGGTAGCCGCAAACACCGCCATCCGACCAGGTGCCGGCACTCAACTACAACTCTGTCTTTGGCATCGCGCTATGGAAGTCATTGGCTTACTTACGATTAGTGAATAGCCTCTTACATACCTACCACTCTTTTTTTTACATCCTTATCGCAACTGGGGCATTTTGTATGCCTATTATAATTTGTTCTCATTTTTTATCCATGTTAATGAACGTTCTAGGAGGTCAGGCATTTCTAAATGGTAGCTTAAAGGATCGAGAATGTAGAAGAGCTATATGCACATATGCATTAGAAGTCTACAACCCGAAAAATATACATTTTCATCTCAAAATACTAATTTTTAGTCAGGTCAATGCCAAAGAAGAAAACCCCTTAAAGTGATTCAAACACATTTTCATATAAAATTTGTGCGGTGGCACTTTATCTTCACCCCTGTCGTCCTCTTACTACAATTATTAATTACATGAAATATAGCAAGCAATAAAAAACTCGTAAAGAGTCATCCAGTCTCTCCAGTCGAATGCCATGATAAATCACAGTACTATAAACCGTATAATAGAACTGTAAACTGTCGTCTACGATAACAGGAAAGTTTAGTTGGACTATAAAACTACCATCGGGGTCCAACTACTCTATTGTCTACATTAAGTTCTTAGAGGCAGCTCGCTACCGGACGGCTACCAACAAAAGGAAATCTAATGAGCGGTTGCCCACTTGAGATCGCGATCGATTTATTATGACCGGTACCAAACAAAAGGAGATTGACAAGAGAAAAAAAAACATTTTAATCATTGTAAAAAAACAAGCCACTGCGAGAGGGGTGATTTTAAATGGAGGGGTTACAGCCAACAACATCCCGTTTATAATTGGCTGATTAATTGCACTGAGGTTCTACAAATATACAATGTAGTTACGCCGTATGGTTTTACCGGGTTTTTCAGGCATTTTGTTCACACATTTTACTCGTTATTTTCGAATGATTAAATCTAGCATGAGATCCCGACTGGAAATTTGACAGTCCGACATATGCACCTGATGAGCCCGGTTCAAAAATGTAACGCCTTAAGTCCTTAGAACATTTAGGTTCAGTCAGGCCGGCCAGCCTTGGTCCGGAGGGAGCTACCGTATTTGAACCTGATTGAATTACGTAATTTGGTCCTAATCGAGTTAATCGATTTGGACAAGATCAAATATTTAATACCCTAAAACATTTTGGCCTAAACAGGCAACCAAACTTATCTGGTTCAGATCAACCTAAACAGGACATACTTTTAAATGATTGAAACAAAGTATATAATGGTGGTTTTGCCGGATACTTATCGGATAACTGTGTACGCAGCATTAGCTGTACCGGATGAATAAAAAAAAGAGAAGAATATTCAAATAATACGATAAAATAAAACAAAGACAGTGCAGGGGCTTTGTTGGTAAAATAATTAAGCACATTAACATCCAACAAGTCTCCTAATGATAATTAAACATAATAAAGCTCCGAGATTCACATAATTTTCCGGTTGGCAAAACACACTTAAGTTTACCTCGGTCATGCACCTTTCCATTTCATAAACATGGCTACGGGTACCTATACTTTGTAAGAACAGAAAAATGAAAAAAGAAAATAACTTCACTGTAATAATAGTCCTTAGGTACTTAAGAGTCTACATTTATTCAGTAGCCATTAGGGAAAATGTCTACTGCATCCAATTAATTATACATACATATGTATTATGTGCTTACCCATGTTTCTAGGTACTAGGTGTGCACGTATGTGTGTATTTATATGCAATATTGCAAGTTGATTGTGTTCATTATCGCAAGATGCAGAGAATTCTACTCGTGCCGGTAATTGTAGGAGTGTTTCGGGCATTTGGAGACATGTAATCATCATTATTTTGGACAAATCTAAATAAAAACTTTTTCAAAGGAAAATGAACCCATTTCTTTGTAATATAAAAACACATACGTGCGTTATTTAGTTACATGTAATTTGTGCTCAGTACTGACTTGCCCATTACATTTCATAGTCCATATAACATCAATAAAAATTGTGATAATGGGAATGGGTTCATTCAACTAGCGCTTTCTCTTTCTTTCACGATTACACGTTTATAAGCGACCAGAATTGATATTAATTCATCCAAGACAACCATATACATATATTCAATGTCAACTGAATTCTCTTCATCTTCATGTCCTAAGGTCGGTCATATTGCGTTAATTTAATCGTTGAATTATTTATTCAAACCGAAAACGAACCATGAATAAGAAACAATCTCTTCGTCCCACGACAATGGAGACCAATATTCGGGGTAAATATACATAGATACTGTAGAATAGGAACCATTAATAGAAATTTGTTCAGGCAATAACACCTATTTTTCCTTAATATTAATGATCCAAGAAACTGCCTCATTGTTATGGAGGTTTATTAAAAAAAATCTATTAATAAGTTTAATATACACATTTCAAATTGGCAAAAAGCATTAAAAACCACAAGTGACAGGTTCTTTACTAATACATGCCTATATGTATCTAATGTATTTCCATAATTGGGCTTTAAGCCCAGATCGCGTGGCAATAAACGGCAAGCCTTTAACTAACCGTCTGAATGTCCAAAACGAGTCATGACGATGATGATGACTCAAACTACTCCCTTATATCTTACGAACGTCTCAGTCCTTCCAAGGTTGAACTTGGAAGTTCGTTACTTTTCAACACCTACGCCAATCGCTAATAAGCAAGTTGATGTCTCGCCGTTGTTATTTGCCTTTTCATTTTCATTAATTGTACCAATATACATATTTGATGTTCTCGCTCGTTTTTGCTACCAGTATGCTAATAACGAGATATTGTAGATAAATATGAAGTGGTTTCTGCTTTATCTATTATAAAATTATAGTATAATAGAAAGCACAAAGGAAAAATAGGGAAAAGGCGATTATAAATATATATATATATATATAATTGGGAGATACAACTAATTTTAAGTATCTGGGATATTAGATAAATCATAATGGAAGCAGCAATAGATATCGCAGGGTTGAGCGGCGTTTAACAAAAAGAAAACACTTCTATGCTCGCGAACGGTTAATTTAGAAATTCGAAAAAGATTGTTGAAGGTGAGTGAGTGTTAAAACATTTTGAACCCAAGTTTTTAGAAAAAGTAGTTGCAAAAAGCAAAACCAAAAATTATTTTGTTCATCATGAATTAGGACGTCTTTAGGAGAGTCCAATTGGACGCGATTTTATTCCCAATTTTTTTAACTAAACAAATGACATTACAATTCAGTTTAATTCAATAACCTCGGTGACTCATGCACTAGTCCGGGAAAAATTAAAAGAGGATGGTCGGTTTATGTCATTCGTGTAGAATTTCGTTCAAAAAAAAAAATGACTAGAAGGCACAGTCTTGTTACTGGTGAGATCAATAAACTATCGATGTGTGTTGATTGTGGAATACGGATTGATGAACTTTGACAAGGGCCTTGACAATACTGCGTGGGTTTTTTTTTTAATTCGTTAACGTCATTTCTCGTTTTAGAAATTACATAAAAGACGTTTCTTATTATAGCGAACATGTATTTATTGTTTGTTCAAATAGTTTCGTATTTTTAAGAATCAAATTTCATATATAACAAAACATTAAGTTATAATAGAACTTCACAAAGTATTAAACGTCTCTATCAATTGTATGGGTATTATCAGTTGTCAAACAGAGCACCCGATGAAAAGCGATCCTATTTAATTTCTGCTTCCATCTCTAATTACAAACCTTCTTGTTTTATTATTAAAAAAATACTAAAATACAGTAATACCTACTACTCGCCGCTAATTAGTTCCTACCTAAATAATCATAATTACATATGTAATTTAACCAACAGCGTCCATATTACATCCGTTAATAAAGCATTAAAAATTAGAGAGATGTGCAATAAAAGTGCGAAATAATTCAAATGCTATTTATCGTAGAGAAAATGCTCCATATTTTCAAATAATTTCCTATTCGAAGAAAATGCTATTTATCATCCGGTCTCTTGCAAGTGCATTCCATTACATATTATAAATATTTTCATGTAAAAAAACAACCATGCATATGTTCTTTTAAATATCTACTAGGTAGGCATAAAATTAAATAAATAAAAGTAACAATAACTATAATGTGAACTTTTTTTATATCCAAGTGGGTTGTAATTTTGCTAATTACGAGCCACATTAATGTAATGCGTAAACAGAACTAATTAACTTTGTTATTCACTAATGTTTCTTAAAAAGGTTTTAATTAATTAAATTAAGCGAGAAGCGAAAGCACATACATACATATACACCGTGTATGTTCATTCAACGGTATTATTTGATTATTGTTTGTTGTTAATGTTGAAATAAGAAAAATAAGTACAAAGGTTTTATTATCGTTATTTCGACATAGATTGCCGGATATTGTTGCAATAGTTTTACATTTACAGGCACAGGTATGTAAATATCAAAAACAATAAGATATGCCTTATTCACATTTACCGTGATCAACAATCATTACGATAATTATCAATATTATCTGACTCACAGTTCGAAAATTTCGAATATTTAATAACCTCTGGATAAGAAATTAGATTATGAGTGTCGCATTTTTTTTCACAAATTTTAAGTCATCTTTTTGACTTTTTTCACACATAATAAATAAATTTACGTGCGCATATTCTTGAAATAAAAAAAAAATAAAATTGCCTACCTTTGAGCATCAGCAAAAACAAACTTCCGAAGCTTAAGATCCCTTAGAACAATTCCATTCCGATGACAGGCCTGAACGGCTTCGGCGATTTGCCTGAACAATTTTCTCGCCTCCGATTCCCGAAGTCTCCTCCGGGACCTGACGTAAGAGTGCAGGTCTCCGTGAGCTTCAGGGAACACTAGGTATAGGTAACGACTACCTACCAACACTTCGTGGAGAGATGACACCCTCGGGTGCGAATCTAACCGATAATGAGCCGACACTAACGAATGGCAATCTCTAGACACAACCTGAAAAAAAATGTAAAAAGACGTTAGTAGTGATCATACTTTTTTAATTTTTGTATTTAATCAATGGTATAGATAATTTTTAGAGGTAGGTGGTAGGTATTGTCCAAATTTGGATGATAATACAGTGGAATTCGTTTATTATGACTCCGCCTATATTGACCAACCGCTTAATATGAAGTAACTGCAGTGTTAAGTTTGGTTTTCATTTTAAATTCTCTATAGAAAAGTTTGGATACAACGACTCCGTTTAAAATGACATATCGTTTATTATGACTAATTCTCAAGAAATCATATCCGGCTAGAGTGACCCAAATGATTAATAATAACATTTTCGCTCATTTTTCTGACCCTTCTTATGTATATTGATATTACAATTCATCGTTCTTTTTCTTTTTCTGTTAATAAATATATACAATTTGTAGTTTTTTCTCTATTAAACTAAATAACTAACCAAAATAGAAAGTTGTTTATTTTCTAAGACTATGCTT